AAATGCGTATCGTTTGCTGCAGATCACACGTACAGCCACTAAAACTGTTGCAAATCAATTAATTTCGAGAAAATTTCAAACCAGCTGCAAAATATCAAATTATGGGTTAAAACAGGCATGCCCCCTGTAACCCCCTCCTCCCCAATATGTTTTTACTTGGTCTAAAGGCACAAAACATTTTGATTGGTCTGTTTCTGTTGGAGACATCTCCGAATAGATACTGCGGTTCAATTACAGGCACTCGGCTCGACGTATGGCACAGAGGGATGGAGGGAGGTCTGGTTGTATGAGGTGCCAAAAGACTGTGGAGAGATATCGAAAAAATATAACATAATTGCAACACATTTGAAAGGGTAAGCTCAAAACCAGGAGGATATTTGAAGAAAAAACAACAACAAATAAACAAAATAAAAAATTAAGACAACAACAACAACAACAACAACAACAACAACAACAACAACAACAACAACAACAATAACAACAAGAAGCACAAAACAAAAACAAAAACAAAAAAAGCAGGATGATAGCCCTTAGCTTACAACATTACCTGCGGAATATCTATAACATGAAATCAATAAAGTGAAGAACTAACTTGGTAATTAACAAAAGTCAAGCTATGAGCAAACCAGTTCCATGATACATGTAACAAGTCTGTTTAAATGATATTTATATGTACACAATTACAACAAAGTAAGGAAACAAAAAGAATCTTTTTTTATAAATTTATGTTTAAAAATAATGTTAAAAAATACACTTCAATTAGCTCAAATGGCGTGCTCCAGAGTGAACAGGAAACGCATCAGAGTACATGACCTAGGATATAGATACAAGTCTATGGCTAGGCCTATATGAATAAGACACAGAGAAGAGGTTGAGTGAGACAGGAGCAGAAGATAATTTGAAAAAGCGCACCTACCGAGAAGGACAGAGCAGAATTTTATTTGACAAAGCACTACATACTGAACAGGGTTTGACAGAGGATACACGTAGATGTCTTGGGTTTGATGGAAGACAATTTGACAAAGTGCCACCTACTTAGAAGGATAAAACAGAAAATAATTTGACAAAGTGCCACCTACTTAGAAGGATAAAACGGAAAATGATTTGACAAAGTGCCACTTACTGAGAAGGGTTTGGCGGAAGATGATCTGACAAAGCGCCATCTACTTGAAGGAAAGATGTGGGGCAGAAAAGCCAGAAGAAGGCAAAGAAAAACAATGATGGACAACAAGAGAACATGGACTG